GACATCGCTCCAAACTGAATGAATGAGCCGGAGGAAACTGGTCAGAGAGGCGACCTAGAGGCCTACAGCAACTCTGAAGCAGATGCAGGAATTTATGACAATGAGTGGTCATTGTGTGCATGTGACAACAATATCACAAATTCTCCACAAATGTGGCTTGTATGGGAGGGCCACATGCAGTCACGACTGAGCTTTGACAAAACACACCTTGAAGATTCTGAGGCAACATGATTGAAAATGTAATTATTTGGCCTCAACACCAAACGATAAATCCAATACAGCTCACCATCCAAATAACAGCACTCCTACAGTAAAGCATGGAGGTGGCAATATCCTGTTATGGGGGGTTTCTCTGAAACAGGGACTGGAGCACTTGTCAGGATAGAAGGAAAAATGGATGGGGCAAAATACCGTAAAATTCTTGAGGAAAATCTGCTGCCCTCTGCCAGAAAGTTGTCAGTGGGAAGAAGGTTTACCTTCCAACATGACAATGACCGAAAGCACACAGCAAAACTGACCAGAAGGAGAAAGAGGTGAATGTCAGAGCCCAGACTCAAACCCCAGTGAAAATCTGTGGAATGACTTGAAGACTGCAGTCCACAAACGGTAATCATCAAATTTAACTGAACTTGATCAGTTCTGCAAAGAAGAGCGGGCAAATATTGCAAAGTCTAGATGTGCAAAGTTAGTAGAGACAGAGACGTATCCCAACAGACTAAAGGCTGTAATTAAAGCAAAAGGTGGTTCAACAAAATACTGACACAAGGGGGTGATCCTTTTTCCAACTCAGTGATTGTTTTTTTTTCCCTGACATGTTGGTGTTATATCTCTCACTTGGATGTTATAAGTTGCACTGAATAAATAAAGCTGGATAAAACAACTGTGTCCGTCTTTATTTCAGGCTGCAAAGCAACAAAATATGTGACCCTGGACCACAAAACAAGTCTTAAGTCGCTGGGGTATATTTGTAGCAATAGCCAAAAATACTGCTATAAATCTATAAAACTATAGATTTTTATTTTATGCCAAAACTCATTAGGACATTAAGTAAAGATCATGTTCCATGAAGATATTTTGTAAATTTCCTACTGTAAATATATCAAAACTTAATTTTTGATTAGTAATATGCATTGCTAAGAACTTCATTTGGACATCTTTAAAGGTGATTTTCTCAATATTTAGATTTTTTTTGCACCCTCAGATTCCAGATTTTCAAATAGTTGTATCTCAAATATTGTCCTATCCTAACAAACCATACATCAATGGAAAGATTATTTATTCAGCTTTCAGATGATGTATACATCTAAATTTCGAAAAAATGTACCCTTATGACTGGTTTTGTGGTCCAGGGTCACATATAATTATTCTAAAGGGATGTGATTATTTTCCATACCCACTGTATATTGACAGTTTCTTAGTTTCCCAGTTTCTGTTGGTAATATAGTTAATTTTATATATATATATACTGTATATATTAGTAGTTATAGTTCAGTTAACATAGTTTGTTGGGGGCCTTCAGAACTGCTGGTTTAGAAGGATTACTGATCTCAAGTAAACCAGTTTAAGATGCTTTAACATCATGAAAACTGTATGGTAGTGTGAGCCTGACAAGTGCACCGTAATTCTCCTTCAGCACTGATGTTTCCATGACCACGTCCATCTGTGAACCATTTGTGCCTGGTATATCGCGTGCAGTGTCTTTAGAGCGGAAAGAGCTAAGATCATCCTTACCACATTCAGAGTAATTCGTTCTCTCGCACTCTCTATAACGAATCAAATGTTGCCACCGCTACTCTAATATGTGATAACCAGAACTAATCTTTCACATACCCTGCACCCAGCCATTGCACAAATAGCGATTTCTGTTACCTAATTAAGCAGTTAATTAGTTTGGGTGTCATGAGTCCTACACCCTGAGATAAGCTAGTGATTTTAAGGATGGAAGTCGTATTTTGATTGAGTGCTGCTGCTGTGTTGGTCATTACGACTAGCAGCTTGACAAGCGGTGGATTTGAATTGCTTGAGCAGCTTGAGGAAACCGAGAAGAGATTGAAGGCAGGTAAGTCGGGGGGGGGGGATGTCAATACCTTGCAGGGCAGGTCCACAGTTTCATCAACCTGGCGAGCAGGGTAGATGGTTCATAATGTTCCTTCCCACTGAGTGAACCCCTATTAAGCACCAGGGTAGAGTATGTTAAAGTTGTCTCGTTTATCCTTCTCTTCTTCACTTTCAAGACTTCGAACCGATTCCTTGATGACATGCTGGTTGCTGTCACCTCATGGGAAGCGCAAATAAACATTCTGACTAGGATAGGAAGGTCAGATGCATTATAAATGAATTAAAGGTCATAGTTTAATTTACAAATTGGCTTGAAAGTTCCCTCACTGAATTTTGGCCCACAGTGCTGATGTTTTTCAGAGTGATAAGGGGTGTCACGAAAACATGCTTTGGCCAAAAAGCCACAGGGATCTGCGGATATATTGCAAACCTCTTGAACGTTGTTTGCAAACCTTTTGACCACAACCATGAATCAGGGTTGTTGTTGCTTTATCCCCCGTCTGTGTGGTCAACACATCTTGCGAATGACTTTCCTCTAGACCTGGTCATATCAGGTCACATCCTCCTCCAGACTTGGACATCCCAATCCAAAACCTTCTGACATAGTGTGTCTAGCATGTGGGATTTCTGGTATGCAAGAGGTGTCCTGTTCTCTGCTTGTGCTATTTTCTGTCAGGCCCCAGAGAAAAGGAACAAACTGAAAATGAATGGCAGGGCTCTTTCTTCGTCTTGCGGTAAAAACAGATGAGAGCAAAAGAGAAACAAGGCCAGAGCAGTCCATGGTGGTGTGGTCGGCCTGGGCTGGCTGGCTGCCTGTCGGGGTCTAAGGACTCTATTCCCCGCTGGTCTCTGGCTCAGAAGCTCAGTCATATTCAGCAGCTAAACCACAATTGCTCCGGGCCAGACTTGACTCACATCAGTGATCCACATTCAACCTCTGGGGAATAAATTGTCTCTGTGCTTATGCTAGTGTGCCATGGATTTAACTCAAAGTGTGTACATACTGTATTAACACAAAACATTCATTATTATGAATTCAACATAGAGTATATTCTATCTATGCACATTTGATTCAAACCAAAAAAGTATTTGTATTTTAAGAGTAAATAAATGTGCTTTGTTTGCTTACTTAGTCAAGGTGTACATCATATTCAGTTTTAAGCAAATAAAATCAATGCTTGAAGAAGGGAAGTACACTTTTGTTTGTTTCAGAAATCACCTCTCGTTTAAGCCCAGACTTTAAAAAAAGTTACTGACCAATTAGCAACTGTTGTCGTTCACCATTTTCTTTTTTTTAAAATGTAAATCTATAGACAGTCTTTGTGTTTGGATAGTTTTAAAGGAAAGTTTACAAAAAAATATCCAATAATACTGCCATAATGTTGCAGAGTCAGTTATAAGTTATTTGAGTTAGCAACAGTAACTGAGGCGGACCTTAGTGGAACATCAATTAAATATGGTTTCTAACATTCATTAATTTTATTTTAATGTAATTTATTCCTGTGATGCAAAGCTGAATTTTCAGCAGCCATTACTCCAGTCTTCAGTGTCACATGATCCTTCAGAAATCATTCTAATATGTAATTTGGTCCTCAAGTAACATTTCTTATTTTTATCAATGTTGAAAACAGTTGTGCTGCCTAATATTTTTGTGGATATATGTTTTTCAGTATTCTTTGAAAAATAGAAAGTTCAAAAGAGCAGCATTTATTTAACATCGACATATTTGGTAGCATTTTAAAAGTCTTTACTGTCAGTTTTGGTCAATTAAAAAAAAAAAAAAAATTTAATCTTACTGACCCCAAACTTTTGAATGGTACTGTACAATATTTCTAAGTGGCTTTCACTATGGGGGGGGGAAGAAAGAAATTTTTCCTTCCAGAACCCTATTTTTAAGCAGTATTGGATATAGATAAATATAGGAAAAAACATTATTGTTTGAGATTAAACCCCAATAAAGGTGGCAAATCTGTCATACTACAGCTTAATTCACAACAATGTAAGCGACTGCATTCTTGCAATGCTTAAATCATTGTTAAGCGTGCCTCCAGGCCCTTGCCTCCTCCTTGACTGGTGTGAACACAAATACACTGGTGTTAAGAGAGTCAGCCGCAACACGTCTGGCACGATGGGATCACTTCCTTCTGCAGACTGGGCACCCATTGTCAGCCCGACCCCAGATAATTAACCTCTGCCACTGGGGTTCAACAAGAAAACAATCCCACAGAGCTCTGTGTGTATGCTAGCGTGACTGTGTGTGTGCCCCGTCTACAGGTGCCTGTGAGGGTGTTAAGCGTCATCCTTCTCGCCATCTGCAGGCATGGGACAGGGTAATGGAGAGGGCTAGGAACACATGCCCAGTGCTTCGGATGGCGTAGCAGGTGGCTGAAAGTGGGTAGCGCAAGGCTGGGTCTTTGACTGAGGTGACTAGGTTAATTAAGGGGTGAGTCTTCAGGGTCTGGGGGGCCCCGGGGCAGGCGTTTGGGGGGGGGCTGATTGAGTGCAGAAAGAGGCCACGCCACTCACCCGCTCCGCTTCCTGTGGGGTATCTGTGCCTCTCTTCATGAGCGGACCTCTGGATTCATAAACTCACACAAACGCATGCACACGTGTAGCACATATGTTCTTTGGGTCCTGAAGGAAATGTCTTTTAACTGAGTGTGTTGTTTCTCTAGAGCTCTCAGCTGTGAAAATGCAGCTGTGCAAATCCACATCGAACCGAAAAAAACAACAGGCCGTGTTGATCCAAAACAAGCATCGAGTTGAGTGCGTCTGATTAGTAAAGAGTCTGATTGTGAAATGAGTCAGTATGTCAGGTACAGAAGATCTGTAAGCTATTATTATGGAAGAGTCTGGGTCTCAGGTTGGGTCACAGGGAGGCAGTGAAGTTTGGCAGGTGTCATAGAACAGAAACTCATGTGACCTTTTGTGTGTCCTTTCAGAAGATGAAGAGGAGGAAGAAGAGGTCACAGAACAGAAAGCTGGCCCAGAAAATGACCTGCAGGAGGAGGAAGAAAGCAAGGACACAAAGGAAGGTAAGAATGGGTGTGAGTGTGTTTGCTTAGCTAAATCTTATGAAACCTCCCTTGTCCTCAAAGACAGAAATGATACTTACATAAGCAAAATGTTTTTTTTTATATTTTTTATATATATATATTTATTCATTTTCAAACATTACAAACATAACAAAATCGAACAAGAAAAAAAAAACTAAAAATAATTTATGACTCACCACTCCATTAAATCAATTTGAGAATGAAATGAAATATTGACATAATCGTACCAACAATATGCCTTACACATTTGTACTCCAACATCTCACATATTTAAACCTCATTAAACAAACCCTCTAATAAGAATAGAGGATATATCTAAGCCCATATATATTAAAAATGGGTCCCATCTTCTATGAAATATAGCACTCTTACTATAAGAAGCACAGGTTAAGTAATCTAGCGGTACGTATTCCAGTATAACCCTGTGCCATAGTGCCCTAGAAGGGGCTTTATCCATTAACCAGTTCAAAAGAATACATTTTCTTGCACAAAATGTTAGGAACTTGCAAAGTGTCTTTTTATGTTTGTCTACAATAATGTCATCATATATTCCAAGCAACATATGTTTTGGACCACAGCCAATATTAATAGATAAAATAACATTAAGTTATTTTTCAACCATAGCCCAAAACTTCTGAATCTCCCTAAAAAACCAGAAACAGTGAATAAGAACTCCTTCCTCTGTTTTAGCAAAATGGTTTTTAATAATAATAACAACAGCATTATTTATTTATTAATTAATTCATTCATTTATTAACATTTCATATAATATATGAAAAGTATGTTTAAATATTATAACTTTTGCAATATAAATAATCAAAATTTTTTTTGTAGACCAAGGATTTAAGATAATTTTTATACTTACCTTTAAATTAAAAATGTTTTGTTCATAATAATAAAATCATTACAAGTATTATTACTATATTTTCTTATTAAAAAGCACAGTATTTTATGCCCTAATGCTGCAACATGCCTTTACCAAATATTATATTATATACAGAAACCACTGTATTTTATACTCTAATTCTACAACATGGCATATTTAAAAAAAAATACTAAATTAGGTCTTTTTTATTATAGTGTTAAAATTAGTCTGTTGTATTTAAAATGCTTTATATTTCGCTTTTGTCTTCCTTATGAGTCATCAAAAAAGGCACGCAAATCAAGTGGGCTCAGATCAAAGGGACGGGCCCCTAATAGTCTGGGAGAAAATGGAGAAACGCAATAACATCAAAAAAGGAGGAGAAAAACTGGGCGTGTTGTCATTATGGAAAGAAGAACTAAGAGCTGTTTGTGTTCGCTAATGTATTTGCTTATTCATTTATTGTTTGTTTGTGGTTTTTATGCCCATATCTCCCTTCTAATTGGCTTAACTACCTTCAAGGCTTGTTGGAAGTCAGGAAAAAGAATGTGGGCGAGTTTGTTTAGGTTTAGTTTGTACGGTTACTGCTCATCGTTATGCCGTACAGCCATGATTTTGTCTGTGGTTAAATCCGTTTGTTAGTGTTATTGTATGTAAGTGGTAGGTATTAACACATAGCCCATTTTTGGGGCCATGGCATGTGCTTTTGTGTGTTTGTGCATTAAAACGTATGGCCTGTTCTGTGTTTATTTACTCGGCAGCTGTGTTTACGTCTTCATTTTGTTGTGTTTTGTCTTGTGTGTGTATCAGGCCACCCACGGGAGCTGACGGAGGAAGAGAAACAGCAGGTTTTGCACTCGGAGGAGTTCCTCATCTTCTTCGACCGCAGTATTCGTGTGATGGAAAGAGCGTTAGCTGAGGACTCCAACATCTTCTTTGACTACAGCGGACGAGACTTGGAGGAAAAAGAGGGGTGAGAAAGTGATGCGTAACACAGATGGGGCTCTATATAGAAATATGGTTTCTGAGTTATAGATGAAGTATTTTATGCATTTTTATGTTTATTTTTAATATTTTATTGCTATATTAAGAATTTCCTTTAACAACAGTCAAAACTTATAAATGGTTGCATTACTAATGGTTATATTATTGCAAACTTGATTGTAGTGAAATGAAATTTATGTGAGAAACTGGACCACTTTGACATCCAAATTGTAATTAATCTACATGAAATGGAACCCAAAACACAAAATGTAGTTACACAATATAAACTGCTTTAATTATCTGGATTTAATTTATATGTGACCCTGGACCACAAAACCAGTCTTAAGTCGCTGGGGTATATTTGTAGCAATTGCCAAAAAAACATTGTATGGGTTAAAATTATCGATTTTTCTTTCTTAGGATATTAAGTAAAAATCATGTTCTATGAAGATATTTTGTAAATTTCCTACCGTAAATATATCACAACTTAATTTTTGATTAGTAATATGCATTGCTAAGAACTTCATTTGGACAACTTTAAAGGCGATTTTCTCAGTATTTTGATTTTTTTGCAGCCTCAGATTCCAGATTTTCAAATAGTTGTATCTTGGCCAAATATTGTCCTAACAAACCATACATCAATGGAAAGCTTATTTATTCAGCTTTCATATGATGTATAAATCTCAGTTTCGAGAAATTGACCCTTATGAATGGTTTTGTGGTCCAGGGTCACATATATTAGGTAAATTGTATATTTCTATCATATTTTTTTCAAGCAATGGATGTAGGTTGCTCTAGTGTTATGCTCTGTCATAAAATAAATGGTCACACAAATGATCATATCACTGTTGAAATTATCACATTTAAAATAAATTTATAGTGTATTGTCAACAATTTTTCTGCAGAACGTGATATAAATATAACAAAAATAGGAATGGTTGGTGTTAGTTTGTAGTATTTATAATTAGGCTAACATGAAAACCATTGAAGACTATAGCATGTCCTCAATGAGCTAAATGTGTGTGTATGTGTCCTTTTTTTTTAAAGTTGCAAAATGATGTCATCCATTAACAACCTCTAGTTTTGCTCTTCTGTATTGGTATTACAAACACACTGTTATTTTTATGAGCATTTGTTCTTAATTTAAATATTTAGAAATTTGTATTTAAGTGGATAAAATATTGTATTGTTATATTGTTTCTATCTATCTATCTATCTATCTATCTATCTATCTATCTATCATCTATCTATCTATCTATCTATCTATCTATGTATGTCTGTCTATCTGTCTATCTGTCTGTCTGTCTGTCTGTCTTAATTTTCTATTGTATATAGTAAAGTGCATATTAAAACTCCAGAGCCAATGTTAATAAGAGTATCTCTCTCTCAGAGATCTGCAGGGTGGTTCCAGTCTCTCTCTCAATCGTCTGTTCTATGATGAGCACTGGTCAAAGCATAGGGTCATCACCTGTCTGGACTGGTCCCCTCAGGTAGACTGACCTCCCCCTCTGACCTCCTGTATATGTCAGCACCTGTTCATTTAAAAGGGAGAATCTTCCCATTCTTTGTCTCTGAGTCAGCTTTATCATCCTCTTCTCTGTTCTCTCTCTCTCTCTCATCTTTCTCCTGTCTCTACTCTCCTCTCTTCGTATTTCCAGTACCCTGAGCTCTTGGTGGCCTCCTACAACAACAATGAAGACGCTCCTCATGAGCCAGACGGTGTGGCTTTGGTGTGGAATATGAAATTCAAGAAGACCACACCAGAGTACATCTACCACTGCCAGGTGAAAACCCTTAACACAACACAAATGTACACACTTACCCTCCAAATATCGCATCACACTGAATATTAAGGGAGTGAAAATTTCTATTGCAGGAAAATGTTAGAGAGATTCTGTGATCATGTACTCACCCACATGTCATTCCAAACCCGTATGAGTTTTAACTCAACTCTTAAAGAAGATAATTGGAAGAATATTGGTAACCAAAGAGTTGCGGCTAGCTATAGACTTCCATAGTATTTTTTTTCTCCATACTATGGAAGTCAATGGCTCCAGCAGCTGTTTGGTTACCAGCATTCTTCAAGATATCTTTTTTTGTGTTCAACAGAAGAAAGAAGCTCACACAGGTTTGGAACAACTTGAAGGTGGATAAATGATGACAGAATTTTTAATTTTGGATGGCAAAAACTGTCCCTTTAAGAAATTTTACACAAATTTGTGTTGAACTATTTATTTTAGTTAAAAATGCATTTATCATTAGGTTTATTGTTACACATTGCATGCTATATTGCATACGATTTAGAAAACTGTAGGCAACATGTAGTACATACTTTTTAAATATACCTCTAGTATTCCAAGCACTTCTCAATAAATTTATAATAAAATGACCTAATTGGAAAGCCATGATAAAGGAAGTGGTAGCTTCAATAAAAGGGAGATCTAATGGAGCATACCACTTCAGATGACGACATGCATTTAAATGAGCCTAAGGTGATATTTAATTAAAGGTGCATGCTGGCCTTGGAGTACCGCAACGGAACAGAACACCTTATTACGGTGTGTGTCCGCTTGGGTCAGGCCAAAACAATCCTGAGGTTTGTGTGTAAAACATATCTGGTGTGGGTTTTGATGCTAATTATAAAAGACTCTGGGTTGAGAGTCTTTTCAGGGAGACGACCAAGTAAGCAAGTCTTGGAGGCGACAGCCTGGTGTGAGGGAGAGATATTAGAGAGACATTTCTGTAATAAAAAGATGTGGCTTACCACTTCCTAATCCTACCAGCCACATATGTTTGCCCACCCACATGGTCTGATCGTGCATGTGCTGCTTTTCCAATGCCCAGCACCTCTCACATGCACACAGACGGATACACGTATACATGCTCGTTTACTCACACAGTTACAGCCAAAGCATACTTACTTACACCAGATATGTTTTAGACATGCCATATTGCACACGTTTATAAACAACAGACTTTTCATATTTACATGACTTTTTTTTTATTGCCATTTTAGTTCTTTCTTATTGATTTTATAATTGTAAAACTATATAATGTTGAGGACATCAATGTCTAACAGACTGCAAAAGTTTATGATCACTGGTTTAGAATTTCTTAGAAAAATTTCTGCTTCAGTTCTGAGAGGGGTCTATATGACAGGACAACATTTTTCAAGGTTTCATCAAAAGAACATTTTTCTTGATAGGTCATTTTTGAAATTGGTTCTTTATTTTACAATCGGGGTCAAATTTGCTCTCAAAGAACTTAACTTTTTTTTCTGTTCATTTTAGATGAGGTTTACAATCTTGTTAACAGAATGTGGGGAATGTCTAAATGCAGTTTAAAATCCTGAATTATGAAAAACATTAAATAATTATCAAAACTAACTACCCTGCAAATTTAGCCTAAATTCAGCTGATTCTGAGTAAGGGATAAAAGGATAGTTTGGGACCAAATGCTGGTTTGTAGTTGTTACATTTTTTTCTAATAAATTAAAAACATATAAATTTTTCTTGCAGTGAATTTGGGTGACAGTGTTTAATGGTCAGCACTACAATTTGTGTGAAAATTGAAGAAGATTATTGTATATCTGTCTTCCTGGGATGCTGTAGAAGGGTGCAAATTCTGTTATTTCTCAGGAGTCAGTGTACTGTACATGTTTTGTAGCAGGAAGAAAGTCATGTGGTAACAGGGATGATGGTAACAGACATTTAATGTAACACTTGCTACTTTTCATCCTAGGTCAATTTTATCTAGACAGTTTTTATATAATAATTTTCACAACAAAATAATGGGACACTAAAATAAACAGTGTTTTATAGAAAGTGCCATGTGTTTTTGATTGTGTTGTGACACAGGAGCATAAATGAAGACTTTGACCTGCCTCACTCTGCCCTTTTCTTCTCTACAGCTCAGTGCTACAAAAAAGATGGGATGTATAGAAAGTATATATAAAAATAAAAACGCAAGATGAATAACACACAATGGCATTTCACAGCTTTCCTTCAGAGTGGCCTGAGGTTCAACCATCCTTTTTTCATCATGAGGAGAGAAATGGAGAGAGAAGCACTGGATCTCCAAACATTTGGCTTTTGGTTGAGGATGAAAGAGGTTGGGCCAATTTGCCGAGATATTGTTTTTTGCTCTGGGATCTGTTCTAAATGGCGGTGCTCCCCTCTCACTAGACTGGGAATCTGATGGGTCTTAATGTGCGAGCATGTTCTGCCGCATCCCCCACACGCTCCTCTCCTTGCTTCTTCTCCCCTCCTTTTCTCCCTTTGTGGCTTCCCTCACTTTTGGCAGGCCGTGTGGTGGAGTTCAGCAGTTTTGCAGTTGTTTTTCCAGATTTACCCACAGCCACCACTTTCATGTGCTGGATACTTCAGAAACCCTCCCTCCAGCACCGCTGTCTCCCACATTTCCCTCAGTTTCTCTTTTTGCTGTTCCATCTTTACCTCTTTTTGCCACATCTCTCTCTCCTTACTTCTTCTCACACTCTAGCTTTGTTCCAAAGCCTAGTGAGCTGACTCGCTGTCTACTTAGGAAGGTTCCTAGCCATCATGGAATCTCATAACTGAATGTACTACATACCACCTCCACGCAGTTATCATGGGAAACTTGAATCATAGTTGATTTCAATAGAGTCTTCCATTAGCATGTTGCTAAGCTTAAAGAGTGATTCTCTAATAAGCACTAAAATCATTGTGCCCACAAATATTGGATAATATATATATATATATATATATTAATTATTAGAGTATCACTATATATACATACTGTACATAGGGTATAGAAAAGAAACACCCCCCTTTAAAATAAACACATTTTGTTGCTTTGCAGCCTGAAATAAAGACGGACACAGTTGTTTTATCCAGCTGTATTTATTCAGTGCAACTTATAACATCCAAGTGAGAGATATAACACCAACATGTCAGAAAAAATAAAACAGAATCACTGAGTTGGAAAAAGGATCACCCCCTTGTGTCAGTATTTTGTTGAACCACCTTTTGCTTTAATTACAGCCTTTAGTCTGTTGGGATACGTCTCTGTCTCTACTAACTTTGCACATCTAGACTTTGCAATATTTGCCCGCTCTTCTTTGCAGAACTGATCAAGTTCAGTTAAATTTGATGATTACCGTTTGTGGACTGCAGTCTTCAAGTCATTCCACAGATTTTCACTGGGGTTTGAGTCTGGGCTCTGACATTCACCTCTTTCTCCTTCTGGTCAGTTTTGCTGTGTGCTTTCGGTCATTGTCATGTTGGAAGGTAAACCTTCTTCCCACTGACAACTTTCTGGCAGAGGGCAGCAGATTTTCCTCAAGAATTTGATGGTATTTTGCCCCATCCATTTTTCTTTCTATCCTGACAAGTGCTCCAGTCCCTGTTTCAGAGAAACACCCCATAACAGGATATTACCACCTCCATGATTTACTGTAGGAATGCTGTTATTTGGATGGTGAGCTGTATTGGATTTATCGTTTGGTGTTTAGGCGAAATAATTACATTTTCCTTGAGGAGTGGCTTTTTTCATGCAACCCTCCCATACAAGCCACATTTGTGGAGAATTTGTGATATTGTTGTCACATGCACACAATGACCACTCATTGTCATAAATTCCTGCATCTGCTTCAGAGTTGCTGTAGGCCTCTAGGTCGCCTCTCTGACCAGTTTTCTCCGGCTCATTCATTCAGTTTGGAGCGATGTCCTGATCCAGGGAGGGTCTGTGCTGTACCAAATACCTTCCACTTCGTAATAACAGACTTCACTGTGCTACTAGGTATTGATAAAGCCTTTGAAATCTTTTTGTATCCATCTCCTGGCTTGTGCCTGTCCACAACTTTATCCCAGAGATCTTTTGATGGGTGCCCATATAGTTGATTGTTTGCTTCAGTTGCACTACCAAGGACTGAAACGCTCCAGGAAAGCTCTTTTCATGCTGAGCTAATCAAAATGACCACAGCTGATCACAGTTGAAAGTCAAATGGCTTTGTGTGCCATTGAGAAGGTGTTTAGCTGCAACTGATTGAGTTTACAAGTAATTTTTCAGAGGGGCAGATCCTTTTTCCAACTCAGTGATTCTGTTTTTTTATTTATTTATTTATTTTACACGTTGGTGTTATATCTTTCACATGGATGTTATAAGTTGCGCTGAGTAAATACAGCTGGATAAAACAAAAACTTTGTTGTCTTTATTATAGGCTGCAAAGCAACAAAATGTGATTATTTTAAAGGGGGGTGATTATTTTCTATAACCACTGTTACATACTTCTGTTCAGGGTTTGGTTTCAGTAAGATTTTTTAAATGTCTTTGAAAGAAGTCTCTTATGCTTACCAAGGCTGCATTTATTTAAACAAAAATACTACAAAACAGTAATATTTTGAAATATTATTACAGCTTAAAATAACTGTATTAAAAAGTGTGGTTTATTCCTGTGATGACAGCAGATTTTTCAGCAGCCATTACTCCAGTCTCCAGTATCACATGTACTCAAGAATTTTTTTTTTTGTATTATCAATGCTGAAAACAGTTGTGCTGCTTAATATTTTTGGTATAAACCATAATACCATGATGATTTTCTTCAGAAAGCTCAAAAGAACTCAATTTATTTGAATAGAGTTTTAATGTAAATGCTTTTACTGTCATTTTTGATCAATTGAATGCATTCTTGCTAAATAAAAGTATTAATTTCTTTTTTTTTTTAAATCTTACTGACCCCCAAATTATGAACAGTTTGAAACTTCACATCCAGAGTGCGCTTTAAAATGCTCCCCTACAAAGGCAG